GATGACAGCCCTTAGAATCAGTAGAATTGGTCATTCCATTAGTGCGTTTATTTCTCTCATCCATTCTAAGTTATCAAAATTTAATTACAAAGGATTACATAAATACCTACACGTAGCAATCAGCTAAATCTTTGGTACAAGGATGGTAATTAGTGACCCAGCTAAAATAAGGAAATAAAGATAGAGTTCACTTTAGAATCAAGTAATATTACAGGGAGAGTTGGTGAGGAGACTGTCTGGTTTTCTTATTCCTTATTCTACTCCTACTCCTAGGAAAAGAAGGCCAAATTTGTATTTCTAGAATTCCATTCAAAGGAACTGAAATGAGGAAGGAGATGGAGGGTTAGGCCTGGAGTCAGGGGAGAAGAAGTGGTGACAGTGGAGAGGTGAGAGAGATCTTGGTAAAGGGGAGTGAGGAGGGGACCAGGAAAGGGAACAGAGGTAGTTGGGGGCTGGCTGACCCCCTCATTTTTATAGCTCACGTACATAAATGTTTAGAAGTTATAAATCAAGCTAACCAATGGTTAATAAAATAGTTATATCCTCCAGTTTTTTGGGGGGATACCCTCATAATGACCTGGAAGGCTAGATTTGAATGCAGAAATATCAAAGTCTTCAGAGATACTTGCCAAAATATTGTGGCCCACCGAGGCCCAGGTCTCCCTGTGCTTTCTGCCCTGCTCCCCCCTGCACCATGAGGGGTCGCAGGTGCACACAGGCAGATGCCCTGCCTCATGCACAAGCTCAGTCACATCCTCCACACCCCAACTCCCTGACAAACAGGTGCCTCTAGGCCACCCATTGGGCCTCGGGGTATATATTCTGGTCACTTGGTTCTTCCTTGGGGGTTTGAACTCAAGGAAAAAGCCCACAAAGTCTTTAAAAGTGTACTTGGCTGCAGTCTGCAAGAGGCGGGGGAGGTTCATAAGAGTTCTAAGTATGCACATCCCCTTGGTTCCATGGCCTCCCTACTTTGTGGAGGGAGATATGGCTAGAGGAGGGCCAGAGTGAGGCTCTTGAAAATATAGAGGTCCCTCTTGCCCAGGTCCAAGGCTAATACTAAGTGGTAGAACTGTCCAGTCTCCCCACAAAGAACATGTTTAAATGTAGCAGATAAAGGGAATTCTCTGGTCGTCCAGTGGTTAGGACTTGGTGCTTTCACTCCATGGGGCCCGGGTTCTATCCCTGGTTGGGGAACTGAGGTCCCACAAGCTGTGCGGCGTGACCAAAAAAAAGGTAGTAGGTAAATAGCCAAGCTGTGGCCTTGGAGGTTGAAAGAGCGCAGGTCTACACTTGTCAAGGAAGCTTCAGAGTCACTTGTCTTTGGCTGGACTCTACTGGGTTGGACGATAGGCATCCTGCAGTCACCAGTATAGCCTGAAGACCAGAGGCCTTTCCTTCTCTCCATTTTCTAGGCACCAAGAAAGATTCCAGTTGACCCAGGGCCTGAGATAGGACCCAGAAGGAGGGCAGAGAGAATTTCTCAATCTCTCTGGCTAGTGGGGAGCTCAGAGTCATAGTTAATTTGATTTAGAAAAATAAAATCATGTGGCATGTCCTGTACTCCAACCTACTGTGATACATGCATTGATAATAACAAATACATAAACCACATTATCCGATTTCTGAATCCTTACGGTGTTCTCTTATACCTGCAGCCTGCTCTGTGTAGTGCTTCCCTTTGGGCAGTAGTGTGGTATATTATCAATTTCTTGAAGGCAGAAGTGGCTTCTCACTGAGTTCCTAGCTGAATCCATCACAGTGCCACGCACACATCAGACATTCATGAACTCATTTGTTGAGATGAATAGAATGTTTCAGAAATCAAGTTAAAAATGAGTGGTTAAGCAGTATGGTATTGGCACAAAAACGGAAATATAGATCAATGGAACAGGATAGAAAGCCCAGAAATAAACCCATGCAGCTATGGTCAATTAATCTATGACAAAGGAGGCAAGAATATACAATGGAGAAAAGACAGTCTCTTCAATAAGTGGTGCTGGGAAAACCAGACAGCTTCATGTACCAGAATGGAATTTGAACATTCTCTAACACCATACATAAAAATAAAACTCAAAATGGACGAAAGACCTAAATGTAAGGGCAGACACCATAAAATTCTTAGAGGAAAACATAGGCAGAATACTCTTTGACATACATGGCAGTAATATCATCTTTGACCCACCTCCTGGAGTAATAAAATTAAAAACAAAAATAAATAAATGGGACCTAATTAAACGTAAAAGCTTCTGCACAGTAAAGGAAACCATAAACAAAATGAAAGACAACGCACAGAATGGGAGAAAATATTTGCAAATGAAGTGACAAACAAGGGATTAATCTCCAAAATATACAAACAGCTTGTGCATCTCAATATCAACAAACAAACAACCCAATAAAAAAATGGGCAGAAAATCTAAATAGACATTTCTCCAAAGAAGACAGATGTCCAAAAAGCACATGAAACGATGCTCAACATCGCTAATTATCAGAGAAATGCAAATCCAAACTACAAGGAGGTATCACCAGATACCTGAATGGCCATCATCAAAAAGTCTATAAACAATAAATGCTGGAGAAGGTGTGGAGAAAAGGGAACCCTGGGAACCCTCCTACACTGTTGGTAGGAATGTAACTTGGTCCAACCACTATGGAGAACAGTATGGAGGTTCCTTTAAAAACTAAAAATAGAACTACCATATGACCCAGCAATCCCACTGCTAGGCATATATCTGGAGAAAACCATAATTCAAAAAGATACGTGCACCCCTATGTTCACTGAAGCACTATTTACAATAGCCAAGGCATGGATGCAACCTAAATGCTCATCAACAGACGAATGGATAAAGAAGATGTGGTACATATATACAATGGAATATTACTCAGCCATAAAAAAGAATGAAATAATGCCATTTGCAGCAACACGGATGGACCTAGAGATGATCATACTAAGTGAGGTAAGTCAGAAAGAGAAAGACAAGTAACATATGGTATCACTCATATGTGGAATCTAACTTTAAAAAAATGATACAAATGAACTTATTTACAAAACAGAAACAGACTTAACAGATATCAAAACCAAACCTATGGTTACCAAAGGGGAAACCTCAGGAGTTCAGGATGAACATACACACACTACTATATATAAGACAGATAACCAGCAAGGACCTACTGTATAGCACAGGGAATTCTACTCAATATTCTGTGATAACCTATATGAGAAAAGAATCTGAAAAAGAATGAATATATGTATATGTATAACTGAATCACTTTGCTGTACACCTGAAACTAACACAACATTGTAAATCAGCTATACTCCAATAAAATTTTTAAAAAATAAAAATAAAAGTGAGTGGGTTAAGGATGTATTGCCTTATTCCAATGTTTCTTGGAACTAGTAGGGTTTTTTTCTATTTCTATATTAATCTAGATGAAAACATTTATTAAGCCTTCTTTTAAAGTGAGTAAATAGTGTAATGCTTAAAAAATTTTTAATGTTGTATGTTTAGTTCCCCAAAAGAATTTTTGGTAAATCCTGTGATATAATGTTTTTCTTTAATAGAATGAAATTTAAACAAAATTAGAACAAAATTATAGGAAAGCTAATAGCAATGACAGCTTCTGATATTTTTTGTTCTTTGCAGTTTCAAAATAGACTTTTTCTTCCTCATGGGAACTTTACAGTAAGTACCCTTAATACTTAAGGGTATTAAGTAGAAAAATATGTCATATGTAGAAAAATAACATTACCTAGCATACAATACAGTTAGAGAGGATAAGTCATGACTGGGGAAACAATATTTTGTAAAAATGCTCTATAGTTGCATTTACGCAATGTTTATAAAAGGCATAACAAATTGCCCATGACTTGGCAAAACTGGTCAATGAGTATTTGAGTTAAGCAACCAGCCCACAGCTGCAATGAGGCCCTGACCCAGCAGCGAGCTGCAGGGACCACGCCGACAAGTTTGGCCACACTCTCGTTAGTTTGGTTTGCACATGGACATACGGTCTTCACGTCTTTATAGATTAGCCAGATTTCTCTTATGTAAAATATCTTAGCCAATAATGTGTAAATAGGTTTCCTGATTAACATGGGTATTACATAGGAATTGCACACATTATTATTTTGAAGGTAACTGAGAACATGGGGTGATAGCCAATATTCTTAACAGCCATAAGGCAAGATCACCAACGAAACAAAACAGAAAAAGAGGCAGCCACCAGAGTTTGGACGAGAACTCAAGTTTTCCCTTGCTTTTCCCCAAAGTACTGCAACCACTAGAGTCTGGACAAGAACTCAAGTTTTCCCTTGCTTTTCTCCAAAGTACTGCAACTACCTGGATCATTCACTCCTTCCCTTTATGAGCCCCACAACTACTACCCAGGTTCCTGGCTATCATCACATCTTCCCAGCTCTGATCTGGAAAGAAAGCAGAGCAGAAACTTTAAGATGCTGTCCCAGGACGCTGTGGGTCTCCCTGTAGGTCAGGATGTATTTAGCTCCTAGAACAAAAGGCCAAAAGAACAAAAGGGAGGGAGGCGAGGGAGAAAACAATAATGGTACGGTACTTGACTCCCCCTTCTACTCCACTTCCCTAACGGAGACTTTCTCTGTAACATCAGGAAGAGTGAAGGATGTTGCTAAAAAGATGACAGGCTTGCACGAATGTTTCTCAGTTTCTAGATTTTGGGAAAGGTTTTCATCAGTTTGAATGGAGGCCATCAGCAAACTCTAAATCTGTAACTGCTCTGTAGTCTGCAACAGCTCTCCATCACTGTGACTAGCTGTCTTGGCAGGAACTCTAGTGGATTTGGCCAGGATGCTATGCCAGAGACGTGATTTGGGTCAGGCCCGAGTTTGGTAGCATCTTGGCTCCCAGCGTTCATCCTCCGTTCTGGCTGATCATGCAAACCCGAAACACATAAACGAATACTGTGTCATTTCATCATAAACACTTCAGATTTATTGTACCATTCATTGAATACATTTTCCCTTCTGTTGAGAAAACTTGTCTGAAAGACTTTAAAAAGTCTTGTAATGACTTTAAATGGGGAAAAGGGCACAGATCCCTTGGTGTTAAGTAGGGTTGTATGAAATAAACAACTCCCCTTTGCTTAGAAAAATCTCTTAGATCAAAAGAAAGATGTGTTTTTAAGATTCTATTACGGTGTATTGTACTGTTTTTTTTACTCTAGGGGAAAACAAAGCATTTAGAGCCTACTATTTTAAATTAAAATAAATGCTTTTGCTTATTCTATAGCTTGCTTTTTTTGGAAAGTACAGTGACCAAGCACAGACAACAATGACCAAAATGCTAACTTGAAATGAGATTTTGTTTGCAATTTTTAATTAAGCAATCTGTGCAAACATCTTTTTTTTTTCTTCAACATCAGGAGGAAAGAAAACAACCACACTTGGGAGCCTGGGAGCAAAACAGAAAATGCTTTCTCATTGCAACCCGATTTCAAAGCAGTGGTGAGCAGAGCGGCAGTGCCCAGGCCCTTAGTATTCCTCAGGATTGCTTGAGTGCAATTCTCGCAAGTATGAATCAATTACGCTAGGAGGCACACCTTGCAAGAGGAGCCTGCAGAAGGAAAGACCACCTAGAAAGGACGAGAAGGAAAAGGCAAAGTCAAAACCGTCTACACGTGAAAAATCCCTGAAACAAGACTTCTTGACTAGCTGCCTGGAAACGTGACTAATTATGTTCCAGTTAGTTACAAAGATTCACTCAGTCCCTACTTGGAAAGCTTCTCCTGGGTTTAGCACCTTTAGAATCTAAAACATTTGGCATCTAGAAGGAAAAGCAAGTTCCCTGCAGACCCACAGCAGTTTTTTGTTCCCTACTATTATTCGTTCTCAAATTCCTCACTAGTTGGAGAGTGTTTATTGCTCTTTTCGAGGTTTTGATTGCTCTTTTCGAGGTTCCTCTATAGATGATTTAAGTGTTCTGAATGAATGGCAGAATAAATGCAAATCATGTTACAAATCAGTGGGAAGAACTGTTTCCAGTTTGTTAATGTTCCTTTCAATTAAGCATAAAGAGTTCCCATTCAAGCACATGGGAGAAGAAAAAAGGAACTACTCCTTTAACTTTGGCTATTCATACACTGTCAAAAGTGCAAAAATTGGAAATATTTTGTTAAACATAGTAAAACCTGTCCAATGCCTTCTGAAGGTGAGAGAAACACCTACTAATATTTCATACTTACCCTCCATGGTTCTGAATTATATTTAAAAAATAAAAGTACCCTTCACGAGAGAACCCATGAAACCATAAAAATGGTCCTTTAGAGAAGTGTTTTACTACTTGCTAATAAATTCACGTCCAGACAAAAACAGCATGCCATTTGAACATTCTTAAAACTTCTTTAATGCAATTTGGGAAAGTCATTCTCTTTTTTTTTTTTTTTAAGGCACATATTGGTAGAAATGATGCCACTTATGTACATGTCCATTCCTTGATGCAAAGAGCTCAGAATGCTTGGGTATCACTCATTTTCATCTACATTAAATGCTTTAATTCATGCTCTACTGCATTCAACAACTTGCTTCATGTCAACAGAAGGTTGTTGTGATGAATAAGTACTAGCTGTTAATGGCAAGATACTGAAATACACATTAAAACTACAATGTTAGGGAGTTTAAATAGTCTATTTTCATTGGGTTGCATAATGAAAATCATGCCATACTCCACAGGCTTGGTATGGCTTATGACAGTCATAAGCTTCATATGCCAAAACCATATGAAAGCTTACCTTAGATGATAATATACATTCAAAAATCCTTACTGTGCTACAACTAAGGAAGAGAGAGAGAGAGAGAGAGAGAGAGAGAGAGAGAGAGACATGTTGTAAGCATTAATAAAGTGCTAAAACCAAAGTTGAGTACTTGGATGAAATTATGGTCACGATTATGATGAGGTGATTTCATTAATCCTTAGTCAGGTGAAAAGTACAGGAAAATAGAAGCGCACGGAATGAAGGGCTGGGATCCAGTCACTTCAAAAGGATCATTAATAGGTAAAACATTTATTAATATGCACAACCACTTTGCCTGAACAGGTGGCAAAGCCAATTCGACTGTAAAGTGAATAATTATGGTAACAGTTTCCAAACCATTAGCTAAAGAAACCCCCCTACAACATATATATATTGTGTTTTTCAACAACAGAAAAACATGGACAATCAACAAAGCATTAGTATACATATATATATGTTGAAATTCTAAAAGGCAAAATTATCAAGTGGATATAGAAATTAGACTATTCTAGAATATTGTATTCTGAACTGACTATATATAACTGATCTAACTAAATGCAAGGCTTAAAAGAACAGGCTAGAAAGTGACTATACGTGCAATCTACAAAACTTTTAAAGAAAGAGTCCTAATTCTTTCCTCTTTCGAAAGTTGATGTTATCTCTAGAAATTCAGAGAGCAAACATTGTAAACTCAGGCATGGGTCTATGTCATTAGAGTTTACATCAGGTTGTTCACCTAGCCCCAAAGAACCTCTTAATTGGCTCTTCCAAATAGGGGATCAATCATACATATACTGTAGGACTCATTTATCGCTTAATACATTTAGTAATGGAGCCTAGAATTTTCTTTCTTTTTAAGTTCATGAATATATGAAATAATCTTGGTCCCATGAAATTATCCAAAATGTTCAACGGATAGATGGGTTACAGACATTCTACTAGAGAATTTTTCATTGGAAAATCTTAAATATGAAAGTTTCCAGATATTGGATTCAACCAGTCCAAATAGTTTTTTATCTGTGTCCTCTCCCCATCAAAAATGCCCAGAACAATTTTTCTACAACTTAGCAATGGAAAAATGTTCAATTTTCTGAACTTCAACGTGAATCTAACGAACCCACACTGGAAGCTATCTTAAAGGAAGAACATCTCTCTCTACACTTGAAAATATTAAAGAAATGCCAAATGATTCCCAAATTTTGGTAACCTTATATCTAAAATGAGGCCATCTTCAAATGTGGCTTTCTGGCTTTATTTATGGGAACCTGTGGTATGGTCCTTAGTTTTCTGACAACACTTATTCCTATATTACCTAATATCCTTGAATAATTTTGCCTTCCTTGTTCATGGCATAACCACTGTACACCATGAGCTGCTAAGAAATACATTTAAAAGCAAATAGAAAGACAAGCTTTACATGCAAAGTGCGATTTCATGTAAGAGGAATGGAATGGAAAGAAGAAATATCCAGTGGGATATGAACTTATAAAACCTGTTGCTGCCCCGCCAGGAAGATTGGTTGTCCAGGGGAATTTACTCCTTGATATATCACTGCAGGATTAGAATATTTGCACCAGTATTTATTTATTCTCGGTTGACAGTCTTACTTTTTTTTTTTTTTCACAGCTTAACTTGATTCAAGTCACCTATTATCAGATAACAATCTGATGATAAATAATGGTGGCTTTACTTTTAGGACCAAAAGCTTTTACTAATATATCACAGTTGATACCTTATTATGAATTTATATACTAGAATACATTATTTATGTTATTAAATTCAATTACTATACAATTACTATAAAGAATATAGCATTTATATGCATAACATTATTCACTTATGGAGGACCCCAAATGTTGAACCATTTTGAAACCATCATTTTATATCATTAGCAACACTCAGGTATTTTCAAAGCATGCAGAAGTGGTATTGGGTTTTTGATTTTTGCGTTCTTGTGTTTTGGGTGTTGGAACATAAGTACCAACAATACCTTGGAACTAATAAGGAGTTTAGAAACCAGATGTGTTTGCAACTATGACCTTAATCTGCCTTTAAAGCTAATAAATAGGACTTCCCTGGCAGTGCAATGGTTAAGACTTGATGCTTCCAATGCAGGGGGCCTGGGTTCGCTCCCTGGTCGGGGAACTAGGACCCCATGTGCCGCGTGGCACAGCCGAAAAAAAAAAAAGCTAATAAATAGCTAAAAGAACAACATTTAAATTTGTATCCACTATCTCAATAGTAAAGTTTGAAATTTTCTAAGAATATCATATGCTTTACATTTAAGAGGAAAAAAACTTAAAAATTTTCTTTCCTTCAATTGTGAATCTACTATCCTGTATTATCTGAGGATGGACAAGAATCATAACAGAGAGAATACTGGTTTTTTTAAGTTACAGAAGGAAAAAATCTTTTCGAGAAGTTTCTCTACTATATTTACACTAGATTTAGGACTAAAAAACTCTTTTGTTGTTGTTGTTATTGTTGACATAAATACCCTAAGCATTTACTACGTTTTTTCTAAAATAGATATTTATAAAATTATATCTGACTTTTAGATTATAATTTCTTCATTATAGAGGGTAGGAAAAGTAAAGACTTTGGTTATCACAAAATGGCAAAATAATGCAATAAGAATGAGAGAAAGGACATTAGGATCATGTCACTCCTTATCTCCTAACGGTGACTCTGACAGCTGTAAGAGTTTTCATCGTATCCCAAAAGGTATTGATTGTCAAGAAAAAAACTTCAGGATAGAAATTATACTCAATTAATATGAAAATTGATTAAGAGGACAATTACACTGAGACTTTTCTACCACATAAATCTTCATGTGTTTTCTTGGTTTACATTAGCTGCAACACTTCTGAAAACTAGTATAAATGCAATGCATACCTACAAATGGAAATTCTCTAGTGAGATTTTTAAAGGAACAGGTTATAATATGTGTATGCTGAATTCTACATGTGTAATATTAAATACTAAATTAGCAAATTTACATATACATTGAAAGTTTCACAAAAATAGTAAACTAATTAAAAATAGTTAAATTCCTCAACTACAGTTTCATTAAATGAGTTTTTACATGAGGCTTCTATTTATCTAAGATGGACTACATCACCAAAGTAATACCCCTTTGACTTGATTCATTGTTACCATGCTGTGCACATACCACAATTCATTGAAATTAATAGTGCTTTAGTTAACAAGAATTGCAAGAGATGAAAGTAAGTCAACTTAAAAAATCAAGTAGCCATCACAAATAAGAGTGAGTTCAGAATGTAAAAATGTCTTCTCTCCCCAAATCTTCTCCCCGCTTCCTCCCCTCCCCCAGAAAATGTTGGCAAGTAATTGGGATTTGGCAGTAAGGACAATAATTAAATGATTTTCTTTCAGTTCAGTCTACACAAGATCTGGGATGTCATACCTTTCACCTCCAGTTTGCATTCGATCTCCATTGCCCCAAGGTCATTGACTGCTTTGCAGCTGTAGGTGCCTCCGTCATAGGGGCTGGGCTTTCGAATCTCCAGAGTACAGACTCCCTGGTTGCTGAACATCCTGTATCTTGGGTCATCCACAATAACAACTTTGTTTTTCATCCAGGTAATTTTGGGCTGAAGATGGAAGCAAATTAGGGCAAAACATATCTGTACTTAGCCTAATAATAGACCATCGAAGCCAGTGACAGAATTTTAAAGCATGGCTTAGAAAGAAAATACTACATCTAAGAAGAATCCACGTCAACTTGAGAACCATTTCTCTCAGATTAAATTCTACTTAATGCTTGGCAAGAAAGCGAATGAGCAGTTCTGAAGAAGCCAGCCAGATTTGTTCAGAGGACAGCCCTGGGGCAATCTTCCCCAAGATTCAGTTACATTTAAATTTGATCTACAGGTCCATGAGGTTAACTCATCCTGGAGAGTGTATATTGCTCAGTGTTTTTCAAAGAATCCCTGTAAGGTGTCATCACCAGCCAGTTTTCTCTACTTCCTTTCCCTGATATGCTTTTCTAATTCTTTATGGGCTGCTTATGCCTCCTCACCGTTTAATCTCTCTTCTGACATCTGTTTTCATCACCTGGTGGCAATGGATGGATCTACTCCAAACAGATAACCCCAGATCAATCGCCCAGGAAGGTTACTCCATTCTGCTTGACTTCTGAACTACAGTCGATACCACTGACTTGCCATTTCTTTTTCATATTGTCTTCTTCTCCCTTCTGTAAATGCACACCCTCCACACTCTCTCCTCTACCTCTTATTGATTTTGTCTTGCTCAGACCCAAGAGACAGCATTTCTCAGTGTCCTTCACGCTGCCCTCTTCCTCCTTCCGCCTTTCAAATGGGAGTATTTTCTGAGGCTCACACCTTGCTCCTTGACATTTTGCTTCACTACTCTCTTTCGTTTGATATTCCTTTCTAGAGCCTTGGCTCCAAGGGGTGGGATGCAGTGTCCCCATGCTTGGGTCACCCAAACCAAGAGTCACAGCCCTCGCCTTTCTCCCAAGCTCTGGCGATGCTCTCCTCGCCTCCTGGTCATTCCCGCTTGAATGTACCAACATCACCTCCAATTAAACATGAATTCAGCATCTTCCTCCCACCCTCAGGCTGTCTTCTCCCTTTGACTTCTCTATTTCTGCTCATGGTATATGCAGGAAAAATATCACTGTTTGCAATTTTTCCAAATTCTAGGGCACTTTCTCTCAGTGCCACCCAGGGATAGATAGCTCTATGGGCAACATTCATTAATTTGTTGTTCTTTTCAAATGCCAGCAACATGAAACCTGAAATCCTTTCTAAATCTCTTCAGTCAGATGCGATCTCTCCCTTCCTGGTACTCTGTACCCTTATCACTGTACATTCAAATTCTGCCTTGCACTATAGTATAATTATTTGCTTTACACTATTACAGAAAGCTTGATAAATCAATATCACCATCTAATTTTTCAGGTGACACAATATTACTTCCATCTCTTTATCTCTCCGTTCCTTTAAAAATAAGTGGTTTGGTTTTTCCTTAGAAAGTATCCCTTAGTTCGTAAAGAAATATAAATATTTTTTCTACATTTAAATAGTGTCCTTAATTATCCACCAATACCACCACCCAGAAAAAGACACAAATAGCAGTTGGGAGGTAAGTTTATATTACTACTTATAATTATGACATAGTGAATATAAAAGAGGGAGTTTGGAATTAATTTTTAAATTTAATTAATGTGATTGAAAAAAACCAAAAACATGGTACCTTAGGATTTCCTCTCACACTGCAGTTCAGGGTGGCATTGTAACCAGCTATGGCGTAGGTGTTGACCAATGGCTGAGTAAACATGGGTGCCTCTGTGAAATTGAAGTCTTCATACACTGGATTTTTGTAGATTTTACCTTAAAAACAAGCATTAGAGATATACAAATTGGCCTGAGAATATATTATTCTTAGCATACTTGACTCACGTTGAAAACTTCCCTGAGCTTAGAAAAACATGTGTGAAGGCCACAGGGCATTCATTCAGAAGGATACCAATGTACAGCCCATCACACACAGGAAAGAAACCCAGAGGGGTCATCTGGAACTGAAATAAGTACTGGGAAGAATTCAGTGTCTGGGTGTTTTGCTCAACAATGTGCTTTAACGTGAAAGTAACGAGGAAGGGCAGGAAGGACACGGTTTCTGAGGAAATGAAATGACAGGGGTGGAATCCAACTTCTCCTTTCATTGAAAAGTGGCTCTCATGTGTAGCATCCTTGAAGGTGTCCAAGAATAAAAGTAACCCAAGCTCTAAAAGTAAATGGTGACTTTTTCCTACCCCTGTGATCTTAGCCATTGAGAGACCCACTACCCAGATGTTGCCATGAATGAAAGCTTGTACGTTAAAAAATGCAATCATAATATAATTTTCCTTAAAATATTTTACTTGTAAGATTAACACTTTGGTTGGACGTTCTTACCATAATTTTATTTATTTATATATTATTTTTTATTTCTTACGACAACAGAAATTTATTCTTTCACAGTTCTTGAGGCCAGAGATACAAAATCAAGGTGTTGGCAGGGCCACGCTGACCCTGGAGATTGTAGCAGGGAATCTGTTCCTTGCCTCTTCCAGCTTCTGGTGGCTGCCAGCATTCCCTGGCCTGTGGCTGCATCTCCTTACCATAATTTTAAATGTGTGTTTATGATATTCTTATCCTCTTTCACCACACCTCTTTTTCTTTCTGTCTTCTCTGTCTCATCACTGAAAATCAAGGTTCCCAGATGTCCAGCCCGCTTCCAACTCACCATCCTTGGCAATCACGGCACTCTCTTTTGTCATTGTTGCATCCTCACTGAGGCCGCACATGTTTTCAGCAAACACCCGGAAGTAATACTCATTTCCGATAACCAGTTCAGTAATGGTGGCACTGGTTCGGTGATAATGCTCAATGACAGTGAACCACTCCTGAAAACAAAAATAATAATTTGAGGAAAATCACTTAAAAATACACAGCTATTTCACCTGTTGATTCAAATAAATAACAGGGATGTTGCATTAACTAAGAGGAAAAAAGAGCACTAATTTTTTATACTGAGGGTAACAGAAATGTATATTTAATTTGTTTAACGCTTTACAATTGATTTACACTTGACTACGTCATTTAATCTTCATTTACACATTAGATTCATTTACCCTAGATGTGGATGGAAGAAATTTTCATATGTTGAGGTATGAAGAAGTCATTCTGGCTTATATGTGGTTTAACTTAAGCTTTATGCTAACTAGAACAGCCCGTTTTGGGGCCTAATAAACATACATTGTACATCTGCTTTAACCATTTAAAGGAAAGCATGCACTGTCCAGAAGTGAAGAAGGTCTCTTTCGAAGATCCAGATAAATGCCTCCTTTCCTGGGACATCAATGCTTGTACTCCTTCCGCGATAAAGCTCCCTTCCTCGGGAACCAAGGTCATAATGACTTGCTGAGTATGTGCTGAACTGTCTCTTTTGGAAACCTTGAAGGAATGTACCTCTGTCATATCTGAGGTTCTTTGTTCAAACAAGGTTAAAAACTGTGCTGAAAGCTATGCTTCTGTGGAGCAGTTCCTCAGAGCTGTCTGAGAGGCTGTCTGCCGGGCTATAGTCCTCTCCTCTATTCTTTTTGTGTTTTTTTTTTTTTGGTACGCGGGCCTCTCACTGTTGTGGCCTCTCCCATTGCGGAGCACAGGCTCCGGACGCGCAGGCTCAGTGGCCATGGCTCATGGGCCCAGCCGCTCCGCGGCATGTGGGATCCTCCCGGACCGGGGCACGAACCCGTGTCCCCTGCATCGGCAGGTGGACTCTCAACCACTGCGCCACCAGGGAAGCCCGAGGAGCTGTCTTTTTGTTTTTGATCCACCAGCTAGAACACTGCTCAACAAATAGTTAATGAATGAATAAATGAATGTGTTGGCATACATCATGAGAACAATGTTTATGGAAGGTATAAAGGACTATAGGAATTTAAGTGAAAAACAGCATCTGTAGCCACAGTGAGATAGTGGTGTGGTGACCTCCGGGGAAGTGCACTGGGCAGAGTGAGCACCTTCTGGTCTGTAGGCCTGCCCTTGCTGAAATGCACCAGAAACACAAGGGGATGGGATTGGGGTTCCTCTCCTGTCAGCAGGCAGACCTCAGACACACGAAGCAGCAGGAAAGTCCTGGCTCAGCTGGACTTGACTAGATATCTGAGAAGACAACTGTTGGCAATGTGGTGGGGGTGGAAGAATGGGGGGCACCTGGAGGCAGTGTGGTACCCCTGGATTCACTGCCAGTATCTGGACCAAGGTCCAAAGAAGAGCCCTCATTGCTAAGGAAATCCAAGGTGGTCAATACTTCCCCTGCAAAGTCATCCATTGATCTAGCTCTCAAGCTGTCCAGGTTTGGCTGAAACATGTTTCTTTAAATGCCAAGTCTTATTTTGTCATTTAACACCCACCCAGGGGTGGGGGGAAAGACATGCTAGAAATAGTTTATGGAAAGGCAAGGCTTGAAATCCATTCCAGTTACTTAGACTGCTCTTTCCAACCCTCTCCCCTTCTATTAACCCAATGTAACCTTAAACCCTAAGTTCTTACTGACATCTAGTAGTGTAAATGCCTGCAGACTTCCTATCAATATCATTTGGTACGATGTTCTACTCTTCCTATGAGGATGAATAGTGGCTCCAAGCCATTCTGTGTCCGAACATTCATTTATTCATTCATTGACTTACAGGTAGAGCAATGGTAGTTGTAGTGGATGGATTCTGATTCAGAAAGACCTAGACTTTAACATTTAAAATCTGGTGATCTAACATAGGTAGTAATAATTCATACTCCAACTGAGTTGCTTCTTGAATACTCTAAATGCTTCTCCTCCTCAGGACCTTTGCATATGCTGTTACCTTTAGAATCTTTCTTTTCTAACTGGAATTTTTTTTTTTTAAAGACATCAGTCCATGCTACCAACATTCATTTTACAAGGAGGAAGAAGTTGCATGGGTGCAGATCTGAGTCAGAATCCACAGTGAGTAAATATCTGTTGAACGAATAACTTCATTGAATTCTACTGAGCATTCTGCCAGTTGCTTTATATTGTTTTGGCCTCACTGCGCGACATGCAGGATCTTAGTTCCCTGCCCAGGGATCAAACCCACACCCCCCGCAGGGGAAGCATGGAGTCTTAGCCAGTGGACCTCCAGGGCAGCCCCTGTTTTAGCCTCTTGATAAACAAGCGAGGTAAACATCAGTGTCCTTATTTTACAGATGAGGGAAATGGAGATCAAAGAGGTTAAGTGACTGTCCATGTGTATGTGGTTTTAAGTGGAAATGCAAGTCCAACTCTTCGTGGCTCCCAAGGCTTTACCCTTTCCACTGTGCCACATCACTTCTCCATGTCCCTCATGAGTTCCTCACCAGAGAGGACCTCATGCTTCCCCCTTTACTTCTGATGAAATGTTATTTTGCTGCTGCGGAACCAGAGAAAGCCAGACCTTACCATGCTCTTCTTGTCGGCCTTCTGGATCGTGTACCCTGTAATGGCAGTATTCCCATCATCCTTTGGTGGTGTCCATGATAGAGCAACATTCTCTCCCCAGACATCGTCGATCTTCACAACTTGGGGTGGACCCGGACGGTCTGTAGGATGAATTCATGGCATCACTGTGAGGTCACTTTCCCCCCAACCTAGACCTCATTACAGGAGGATATTTTAAAATGTCCTTTCCTTCCTGTATTTCTACCCATGTTTCTTTTGCATTCTTCTTCTCCGGAGAAGTACAATGCACTCCTACTAATCTTATCTGGAAACCCCTGACTTTCATCTTCATGGAAAGAAAAGGATTTTGAAAGGAAAATGTAAATGAAACTTCAAACATCATTAACCATCCCTCCAGGGGCCGACTACTGGCAGTGAGTCACAGGCTACCCTGCCTAATGGGAAAGGTAAGCTGATGCTAGACTTGAAATCATAGAGCCTACCTGGGCTGTGTAGCTCCAGCTTTCGGTGAGAGGCCCGAAGCCCACAGTCTGTGAGAGAGGTCCTCTGCTGCACTCAAAAGGCACCTTTAATGGGAGTGAGGAAAACTTATTTCCTCTGCCATCGCTCCCTCCAAGATTCATTTGTATTTATCAGTGTTTCCATGTTATGGAAGTAGAATGCATTCATGAAGAAATAAAGTCTTTCTTCACTTTATTTTCTGCACTATGAATTTCTGTGACCTCTGACCTTCCAGTAAATTGCAGTAACATTCAGAAAGGCCCAAAGTCAAGTAAACGAAAACTTGGGGGGAGGGATAAATTGGAAGGTTGGGACTGAACTATAACACTAGTATATATAAAATAGATAACTAATAAGAACCTACTGGGTAGCACAGGGAACTCTACCCAATACTCTGTAATGACCTATATGGGAATAGAATCTAAAAAGGAGTGGATATATGTATATGTATTCACTTTGCTATACAGCAGAAACTAACACAACATTGTAAATCGACTATACTTCAAGAAAAATTAATTAATAAAAAAGAAAACTAAATCTTCATTGGGAGGCCCCCTCAAAAAAAATCATGCATAGACGTTCAAGGAAGGACAATAATTATCTTATGTACCTGCATAGTACTTGTTAATTTTTTCAGAGAAATTTCACGTCTGTTATCCTTTGCAGTGCAAGCAGTACCCTTTCTGTCCTGAAATATTTTTCAGGTATTAAAATGCAACTATAATTATTTCTATTTGAAATGTCAGATTGAAAAGAGTAAATATCAGAGTGGTTTCTGGTCATGTTTTTCTCTCTTTTAAGCAACATTTAACATGCAGTCTTCATGGGCTCCGGGGGGTGGAGGGAAACCACAGTGATAATCCTCACTTCCTTTCTACAATTCCCAACAATGAGTCTCTACAACCACAGTTTTCTATCTCCTGTTTTCACCAACTTGTCCTACAGACACATGTTTTCTCCCAGCTCAACTTCCCACCTGCACCCCAGGTCTGCTTTGTCTTCAAAGTTCACATTGGCTTTTCAAACACTTGCTTCCCAACAGTAAATGGCTAGATTTTTACAGTCATGGCAGAAACATGAACTTGGGACTAATAAAATAAGTAGGATACTAATTGTTACTATTTATTGAACACTTTGAGCGTGTGAGCGACGTGCCAGGCGCTCGTAACTACCTGGTAAAGTAACTACATGGCAAAGTAGGAAAAATAAAAAAGTCCTTCCTCGTGTTTCAGAGGGCAAGGCTCTTCCAGACCCAACCACAAGGGCTTCCATTAAAATAGAGCCAGCGCATAGCACAGGGAGATCAGCTCTGTGCTTTGTGTCCACCTAGAAGGGTGGGATAGGGAGGGTGGGAGGGAGACGCAAGAGGGAGGGGATATGGGGATATATGTCTATGTATAGCTGATTCACTTTGTTATAAAGCAGAAACTAATACAGCGTGGTAAAGCAATTATACTCCAATAAAGATGCTTAAAATAAATAAATTAATTAAATAAAATAAAATGGAGCCAGGCCAGACCCAAGGGCACATAGAACATCCTCAACACTCCTTTCAACTTAACAAAAATCAAGACAGTTTAGTCAGCACGAAAAGATTGCTTAGTTTAAAGGACATGAACTTTCACCTAAGGGAAGGCTTGCCACAGGAAGCTGCTCCTTTGGTTAGAGAGCCTCTAGTTCTAGCACATGTGCTAAACTGTAATCATAAAATTGACTGGAGACAAGGCTTCTCCTAACTCTGCTCTTAAATTTATTTCTTGACATTGCAAAAATTATAGAACAGTTCAAGCGAGAAGGGTCTACTGTAAGAGATCCTCCCTCTATTGCCCTAACTGTGGAAACAAGTAAGAACTAACCTTGTTTGGAGAGGTAAGTATCTAAGCCCTGCACGACCAACCACAATTCAGTCTTTAACTGTTTAACTCTGTTTAGGTGTACCTTTCTTACATTTAATAAAAATTCTTCATTCTCCATTAACGTTACTATTAGCAAATTTTAAATGTAGTAAGAAACATGTTAAACTATATCTAGAATCTATAATGTTTTCTTAATGCAAGAATTCAACATAGGAAATAGTTTTATCATTGAAGAGTTGAGAAACAGAGTAAGAGAGAACTGGATTGTAAAACAGTACTGATAGTTTTCACTAGAAAGTAATATACATTAATTTTCTTTACTATATATGCCCTAAGTCTCCCATGGTTAGTCCTTTTAGTCAGTGAAAAATTATTCTAAAATGCTAACCAATCTTCCTAATTTATCTATTTTTTTAAATTCTAAAAAGAGGAATTTTCTGTAGAGCCAACCTAACAGAAGAAATTCTGACTCTTGCCTTATTGACAAGGACAATTTGTCTCCATATAGAATGTTCTAGTTCTCTCCTCCAAACCTACCAACAACCTGGATATCAATGGATGCAGTTTCCATGTATTTTTCCACTTTGACCTGCAGATCATATTTCCCAGAATGGCTCCTCTCTGCTTTTCTGATAAATATGATTGTATCGGTCTCAGAGTTGCGAATGTTGATCTGATTCTTATCAATAGGTGCACCATCTTTCTTCCAAGTTACTTCTGGTCTTGGTTTTCCCTTAAAAGAAAAAAAAAAAGGCAGAAAAAGTAGAGGCGGGAGGGGATCAGATTGTCTCATTTCTTTTCAGCATTAAATAAATGGGCAGTGGCTTACCCCATCCTAGGCAAGTTTGGAAAATGGCCTGGTGGTGGGCAGTTATAGCAGTAATGTAATATCCACTACTGCCCATTGATTGCATTCTGCATGCAAGGTACTATGTTAGGTACGTGATATTTATAACTTCCCTTACTCTTCACATCAGGATAAGTATCATTATCCTCATTTTTTTTACCGGTACGCGGGCCTCTCACTGCTGTGGCCTCTCCCGCCGCGGAGCACAGCCTCCGGACGCACAAGCTCAGCAGCCATGGCTCACGGGCCCAGCCGCTCCGCGGCATGTGGGATCTTCCCGGACCGGGGTACGAACCCGCGTCCCCTGCATCGGCAGGCGGACTCTCAACCACTGTGCCACCAGGGAAGCCCCCCCGCCTTTTTTTGATAAAGGTATTAAATGACTTGCACAAGGCCTTGCAGCTAAGTGCTGGAAGCTGGTCTTCTAGCCAGGTCTCTTCAGCTCCAAAAGCCTGCACATCACAGCCTAATGGTTCAGAACATGGGCCCTGGGACCCTAGAATCTGTATTTGGATCCTGACTCCACTACTTAATAGCTGTGTGACTTCGGGCAAGTTAAACTCTCTGCCTCAGTTTCCCAATCTGTAAAGTGGAACGAGAGTACCTTTCTTCAGGGTGGTTATCACAACTGAAGTTCTTAGAAAGCTTCTGTGCACTGCAGAGGTGTTTCATTAATATCATCTACATGCTAATGGTTATTAGTTCCACTCATTTCAGACTTGTCTGTAATTCTCTCTCTGTTCTCTCTAGCAGCTGAAACTATTCTTTAAGAGCAGACTTTGAGGAATTATAATCTCATTCAAGGACATGAGTTTTAGTTTACGTTACAAAGAAACTTCCTAGGATTCCTGAGCACCCAGGCTCACCCCACAGACAGGAACCAAGCATTAATTCCGTTGGGAAACGCACAGCCTTCCCATGGGCTCCTAATGTGACTTGTTGATAGGTTCTGCTAAGGAATGTGAGAGACACACATCAAACCCCTCCCCACAGGGCTTGAAGAATGGTTGCAGGTGCTCAGATGTGCATATGGGAAGTAGAGAACAATACTGTTAAAGATGGGAAAAATAGTTCCAGGTCTCATTTCCTTAAGTGTACAATTTACTATTAACCTACTGGGGGAAAAAATTGAGTTCTCTGATAACGTATGGAGTGAAAAAAGCACTGGATTCAGTGTCTGGAGATATAGACTCTGTTCATGGCACTACCATTTATTTGCTGTGTGACTTTGGGCAAGTCACTTAGCTTCTCTGAATGTCAGTTTCTTCCCTTCTCAAGGGGGGTAAGGAAATCTGCCATTCCTGCCTCACAAGGTGTATCTGGGGCTCAAATGAGAAAAGGTTCGAGAACTTTAGAGGTTACATAAATATACAAACATGACATACTAGCCTCATCACCCCCTTCCTAGTAGCTGACCAGCCCCTGGGATGCCATACCTATGAGGTCCCTGTTCTCATGCTCTCTCCTCTCCCAGACCCAGGGACAGAGCTGAATACACTCTCCCCTTCCCAACAAGATCTGGGAACTGGGATTAGCCCTAGCTGTTGCCATGATGTGGAAGCTAGAGGGCTGATGCAGCCCCAATCCAGGGCTGGAGTTGGGTCCTGGGTACCCGCCTTGTGCCAACTCCTGATTTTTTTTTAGGCTGTGGGAGGACAGAAGTGGGAGGAACCTTGCCAAGCCAGCGCCTTCCTCCTCTGCTGTGTTCACACTTGCGTCCTCCTTGACTTCCGTTCTGATTTCAGGTGCTGTGTATGTAGAAGCTAACTGCCTCTTCTAAGGCCGGGCCCCAGGTGCAACGAGAATGGCCTGAACTGGCTGTCCCTTTAGGTTAGTTTTCATGGGAGCCTGTGTTCGAACCAGCTCTGCGTGTGTGTGTGTATCCAAATGTTTGCAGAGACCTAAATTCTAGTTCTAAGGCCATGCTGTCTGACGTAACAGCCGCAAGCTCAATGTGGGCATTTAAACTAAAACTAATTAAAATTAAGGAAAATTAAAAATTCATTTCCCCAGTTGCCCTAGTTCCTAGCTGCACCTTTCAAGTCCTCAATAGACACATTTGGCTGCTGGCTACCATACTGGACATTGCATACACAGAACATTCCTATCATCACAGAAAGTTTTTTTTTTTTGTTGACAGAAAGTTTTATTGAACACCACTGTTTAGAGGCATAAAAGGAATCAAATGAGTAAGGAGGTAATGGTGCAGTGGGTGTTGTGTGTGTGTGTGTGTGAGAGAGAGAGAGAGAGAGAGGGAGAGAGAGAGAGAGAGACCAAAAGTGATTATCATATGCAAAGCCTGGTTAATCTTATAAACAACAGATTCTTTTGAGAGAGCGATGATTTAACAATGTTCATTTATTTCAGTTAGGGGCATCAAAATTTCAAACTTCAGTTATCCCTCATTGGAATTTGGGTGATTTGAGTGTGGTTTGGGGTAATCATGGGAAGTAAGGACATGTTGTTTTCCTGAATGTTACAGCAAGAACTTCACTTAAAAGGAAGATCAGTTTTACAGATGGATAGAACCAGAAAGATCTTTAAGCATTTCTTGTTTCGGTGTCTCCTTGGTGTTTCCTCTCTGGCCCCCTGTGGTCCCTGAGCCTCAGACAAGACTAGGCCTCGTTTATCTCATGCAGAAGGAAAATCTATGACAGTTTTATAGATTTCTGTACTTGTAAAGCAGGAGGTTGTTGAATCACTCTCCAAATCTCCTCCATCCTTTCCTGCCTTTCCTCTGAGGAAATTCTGAATCACAAATAACTTAAATGCTGAAGTCCCTCCCTCTACTCCTTAAACACCCCAGCATGGGAAGGAGAAAATGAGCAACCCTGAATTATTACCTGGAAAGGTATAACCAGATTGATGGCTTCTCCAACTCTGCGGATATAGGTTTGCTTTAGGTGCCTTGGGATGCGAATCTTTGGAGCCTCTGAATGAGAGTAGAAGAGCGTAATTTTGCAGTCAGTATCATACACTGGAAGCAGCATTACATAAGCATACTTGTCATGATACTCACCAGGACTTCCCTACGCTCATGCCTCTGAAGTGAAATCTTAGTTGGGCTACTAACAGGTTATATGTGGTAACTTTGATTCCAAATGTTTCCTTCAGGGAGATGTTTTAACAGCTTGACTCAACAAGATTATTCCCTGACCTCCTTAATTTTACTACAACTTCCTATTTTTATTATAAGCCTAAAGCAACTTTATAGAAAAGCACTAAATTTTCTCTTAGGACCTTATATATTGTTTTCTTAGTTTCTAACAGTGAGTATATTCTCCAATGAACATTCCATAAAAGATCTACAGTCACCACGTTAGCTGGTAGGGCTGCCCATTTTTTCTCACCAGAAAATAATAATAAAAAATGCTTTAGCACCTATTATTTATGTAATGATGTTAGAATTTGATGGTAACTTTCTCCCTTTATGACTAAGGTGAAGTATATAATAGGCAGCCCGAGCCCGCTGTATATTAATGTTCATTAATTAAACACCATGAAAATACTAGAACATGTGGTTGTAAACCCATCAGAAGCAGAGAATCAAGGCTCATGGCTCACAGGGATGAGGTGGGTCCTATCACTTGAGGGCTCTGTATGGAACAGATACTGGGATAAATGTTTTTCACGAAGCGACCAATTTAAACCTCACAGCCACCTTATGACACAGGTACCGTTTTTACTTTATGATAAAGAAGCTAAAGCAACCGGGGTTTAAGTCACTTGCCCCAAGGTGACATAGCCAGGATTAGACCTGGAATCACCTTCCACTGCCTATGCTCTGCTTAGACACATGGACTGCGGGGTCAAGAGAGATCTGGTAAGCTGTGACAAAGCGAGAGAGTGGCATGGACATATATACACTACCAAACGTAAAATAGATAGCTAGTGGGAAGCAGCCACATGGCACAGGGAGATCAGCTCGGTGCTTTGTGACCACCTAGTGGGGTGGGATAGGGAGGGGGGGAGGGAGGGAGACACAAGAGGGAAGAGGTATGGGAACATATGTATATGTATAACTGATTCACTATGTTATAAAGCAGAAACTAACACACCATTGTAAAGCAATTATACTCCAATAAAGATGTAAAAAAAAAATAAAAAAGAGAGATCTGGGTTTGAGTTCCAGATCAGACAGTAGATCTGGTCTCAGCCTATTCCGTAAAACTGGGATGATAACAGCATCTAATTCACAGCATTGTAGTGAGGGTTAAATAAGGTCATCCATATAAAGTGTTTAGCATAATGGCTGAGAATAGTAAATGCTCAATAAACTTTAGGGGAAGAAGATGAAGATGATGGTAGTGGTGGTGATTACTGAATGCTGGAGCTGGAAGAGAACTTGAGAGATCCTCTAACTCCCTAACTTTACATAGGAGGAAAAGGAGACTCAGCGAGGTTCTGTAGTACATTACACCATCATCATAATAAAAGCTAACATATACCAAGGGCTTATTATGTGGCCAGCATTCTGTTAAGCAAATAACATGGATTAATTTATTCAACTCTCAAAACCTCTTGATGTAAGTACTATTATTGTATACATTTTGCAGATGAAGAAATTAAGGCTCAGGAATATCAAGTCCCTTGCCTGAGACCACATGGTTAATAAATGAAGGAAACAGGACTCAGCTTTCATAGTCTGTCTCTAGAATCTAATAAGAAAATGTGCATGCTTCATACTTTCTACCATCCATCCATCCACCCATCCACCCATCCATCCATCCATCCATCCATCTATCCCCTAACTTACTCCCAAAAGGTTTCAGGCAGTCACACCGTAAGTCTGTGGCTCAACACGGTCCAGACCCAGATGTTCAGACCCCTTCCCGGTATTCTTTTCCCTGGAGCACCGATTCTCAAATTTTTTAGTCTCAGAATCCCATTACACCCTTAAAAATCATCAAAGGCTCCGCAAAGCTTTTGTTTATGTGGACTGTATCTATCATATATACCATATTAGAAATTAAAACCAATAAATTTTGAAATACTTATATTTATTGCTTGAAAAATAATAACAACATAAATATCATTTAAATGAAAACAACCATATTTACATTAACAAAAATTTGTGATATGAGTGGCATTATTTTATATTTTGGCAAATCTCTTTAATGTCTGACTTAATAGAGGCTAGCTGGACTTTATTTGTTTCTGCCTCTAATCTGTTGCAATACGCTGTTTTGGTTGAAGTACATGAAGAAAATTTGTCTTCACACAGACAGGAAGAATACTTTAAGAAACTTTTCAGACAATTGTGGGTATTCCTCTTTGATTCTACACTAAAACACGAGCTATAATTTCTTAAGGGTTAGCTGCAGTATGGAATCTGAAAAATTCTATGAACTTTTCATATCTGTTACATTAAACCCCATTGGTCTGCCTTCCATTTTGAATGTATCTTACCCATGCATGATTTTTTTTAACTTGCATTGGTCATTTGGAAAATATTGCTTCAATGAATCATGCAGATTGTTCAAATGTTGAAATACTGCATTATTCAATGTCAAAAAATTACATTTGCTACTATCACCACCTACTTCATCAGAAAAGATTTTAAGTATTGGAAAGCTGCCAAGTCCATGATGGTGGGTACCAGTTTTCCATAATTTTAATTTTTGCTTCAAAGATTAAAGTTTTTCATTGACAAGCTGACAATATATACTATAAGTTGTTTTCCTTCAAGTAACAGGCTCACTCCATTCATTTTCTAGAAAATGTCTGCCAAATACCCAAGTCTGACTAGCCAGAGTTTGTCACTCTGTCATTCTTTCGAGGAAGAATGGAGTTTCATGGAAAAGGTCGCAAGTTTAGGCTCTAATTCAGTTGCACAAATGCTTTACAAATGCTTTTCCTAGAGACAACTATCGTACTACCGTATTTAGCATAAGAGTTTCACATCTACTTTGCATTTCATTGTCATACAGAGTATAGAAAAAAAGTGTACTCAAGAACCAAGGTTTAAGAACATTAATGATTCATATGTATCATCAAGAACACTCCAAGGCAAAGCTGGCCCTTTAATTTGAATTGCGAGTGCATGGTGGTGAGGAAGAAAAGACCAGCCAGACAATTTGGTGGCGCAGATTGGATCTGTGCTAAGGCACCAGCAGTTTTACACATCATCACTTTTGTACCATCAGTGCAGAGGCCAAGCATTGAAAAGGGAAAACAATGTGTTCATATTATTATGAAAATGGTTTTGACCTCGCAGACTCACTTGAACCATTTTGCTGCTGTATGGTTTGTTTGAAATGCTTCCCCCCCCCCCCCCCCCCCCTGCCCCCCCCCCCCCCCTTGTGACTAGGCAGCCCAGCTGCCTATTGGCTCATGGAACCTGATGTAGTTATCTGGTCCTCATACCAAGTTATAAACCGGGAGCTGACCTCCCACGCTGCCTATAAAGGGCAGTTTTGTTCATTTCTAACTCCCAGGAGACATTAATAAAATATCAAAGGAGTGACAACAAAATAGGAGGGTTTGAGAAAGAAAGAGGTTAAAAAAAATGTGAAATGGAGACAAAATTTTGAAAGCCTTGCCACCTACCTACGATTTCTTTCACAAGGATGGGCTGAGAGTAGTACTTGGGCTCGCTGGCACCAGCGGCGTTCACAGCTTTCACGCGCACAAAGATCCTTGCATCCGTTGGCAGACCTGTGATGGTGAACTTGGTCTTCTCGATCAGCTCTGTGTTTGCAACTATCCAGTTGTCAGCTAAAATCCATTAAGAAAAAAAAAAAGAAAGAAAAGACAAGAAGGAAAAATGGTGGTTAGTGAAAGAAATCATCCTGTTAAACAGTCAACTCCAAATTAGTATTTTACTCAAAATTAAATCATTTGGAGAGAATGTGACTTTGGTCTGGACTCAGACTATATGGCTGGGTGTTTTTCATATTTAAATGAAAAATGGCCTAGAATGGCTAATGTAAATAGCGGAAGAATGATAATCAGATTCTGCCATCTTTGAAAAACCTCTTATTCAGGATACTAGGGTACCCTGAACAATGGTAACTGTCCCAGGAATTCTGTAGTAGTTTATCCCAATTTGGTTTTACAAGGTACATTTTTACAATTGACGTAACCATGATGTTTAATCATCTATATATATTAAAGTTCAGAAAAAGGGGAAAATGCTATTCTTATGAATGAGAGACACCAACCTTTACAGTCATATGATCTCTCCATTTTATCCTGGCTGGTTTATTATTATAAGACATTAATATGGGCATGGGAAATCTGATCATGCTCCCATGAAGAAAAGAAGCTTATATCCACGGCAAAAGGAACCACAACTCAGGAGCCAAGACCTCATAAGGAATTGGCACGATCTTTCACCACAATCAAAAGTTCTGATTTTTTAAATGCTTTTGGTGGCTTTGTCTACAACAGCAAGAAAATTTAAACCCAGAATCCAGGTTTTACAAATACTGCAGGTTCTAAAAGTTTGTATGCATTATTATGCCCACGGGGGGATAAAAAGAAGCTTGGATCCCACATTGTAAACTCACCGCCCGCCCTCCCCCCTCCATCTTTAAGGGCTTTTTTGTGTGTGGGTGTACTTCAGGCTGGGGCATGGAACATTCCCAGAAACTTTATCATACAGTAAGAAAGTATGAGAGCTCTCAGAGAATACTTTACCTGGTAGATCATATGCAGCCTCCCCATTTTCACCAGACTGTTTTGCTGATGTACCTTGGAGAATCCATCATTAAAATTAATTAAAGACACCCACTTTCACAACAGAAGAATATCATATCAGTAGTCAGCATTCTCTGTTAGTAAAGTGTGAAAAGTATGCAAAGATATTTGTCTTCAGAACAGTGATGGAAGAGACCAAACACATTAGAGGAGGGGGTAATTCCTCAGGAGGGGCACAGCCTGCTCTATTCAGACTGTGGGGGTTTTTTTGTCCTGAGGCACTTGCCACAGAGAAGAGGAGGAGAAAGGAGGCTGGGGCACCTCCAACTGTGGGAGCAAGAGGTAGAGAACAACAAAGCAAGACCCTGGAGACAAAGGCAGAGCAGGTTCTGGACTCTACAGGGGAGCAGTGCACAGTGGAGCAGTCTACCCTTGCTCCTGTCCCTGCTACTTCAGCCTGGGAGGGTCCTGTGGGGCCCCAGGGAACGCAGTTCTCCCACTATGGGGCTCACACATCAGAGTCTGGGAGTGAGGGCACTTGAGATATGGCCAGCCCCGTCTTACCAGGAAATGAAAAGGCTCTCCATGGAAGTGGAAACTGCCCAAGCAGCCCAGGAGGCAGCACCTGGTTGCCATGACAACAAGCTCTCGGTCTGGCAAAGTGAGCTGTCCTGGTTCCCGCATTCCACACGGGTGGAGGGAATGCTGCTGACTCACAGAGTGCCTGTAGGTGCACCCCACTAGTTTGGGATGATGACCATCTAGGTTATCAGGAACAGAGCAGGGAGGTGGGGACTAGACTGGCCCCTCTTGGAACCTTCTCCTCTCTCTTATTTCAAGCCTTCTGAGAGCATCAGGGAGAAGGGGCAGCAAGCGAGAAGCATGTGGATGATACAAATTACTTAGGACTTTGAAAAAGAGATACATCTTGAAGCCAATGGTCTGTTTGGGAGCTACTGTGTTGATATTTTCACAATCAAGAGACAATCGATGAGAACGTGAAATAGGAGAATGAGAAAACATGCATGAAAGAGTGAAGAACTAGGGAAGAAGAAAATTTCAAGAGAAAACAGGACGAAACAAGATCAGAGGGATATGGTGTATCACGTTGATTGATTTGCGTATATTGAAGAATCCTTGCATTCCTGGAATAAACCCCACTTGATCATGGTGTATGATCCTTTTAATGTGCTGTTGGGACCTAATGAAACTTAAAAGCTTTTGCACAGCAAAGGAAACCAAAAACAAGACCAAAAGACAACCCTCAGAATGGGAGAAAATATTTGCAAACGAAGCAACTGACAAAGGATTAATCTCCAAAATTTACAAGCAGCTCATGCAGCTCAATAACAAAAAAACAAACAACCCAATCCAAAAATGGGCAGAACACCTAAATAGACATTCCTCCAAAGAAGATATACAGATGGCCAACAAACACATGAAGGAATGCTCAACATCACTAATCATTAGAGAAATGCAAATCAAAACTACAATGAGATATCATCTCACACTGGTCAGAATGGCCATAATCAAAAAATCTACAAACACTAAATGCTGGAGAGGGTGTGGAGAAAAGGGAACACTCTTGCACTGCTAGTGGGAATGTAAATTGATACAGCCACTATGGAGAACAGTATGGAGGTTCCTTAAAAAACTACAAATAGAACTACCATACGACCCAGCAATCCCACTACTGGGCATGTACCCTGAGAAAACCATAATTCAAAAAGAGTCATGTACCAAAATGTTCATTGCGGCTCTATTTACAATAGCCAGGAGATGGAAGCAACCTAAGTGTCCATCATCTGATGAATGGATAAAGAAGATGTGACACATATATACAATGGAATATTACTCAGCCATAAAAAGAAATGAAATTGAGTTATTTGTAGTGAGGTGGATGGACGTAGAGTCTGTCATGCAGGGTGAAGTAAGTCAGAAAGAGAAAAACAAATACCGTATGCTAACACATATATATGGAATCTAAGAAAAAAAAAAAAAGGTCATGAAGAACCTAGGGGTAAGATGGGAATAAAGACACAGACCTACTAGAGAATGGACTTGAGGATATGGAGAGGGGGAAGGGTAAGCTGTGACAAAGTGAGAGAGTGGCATGGACATATATACACTACCAAACGTAAAATAGATAGCTAGTGGGAAGCAGCCGCATAGCACAGGGAGATCAGCTCAGTGCTTTGTGACCACCTAGAGGGGTGGGGTAGGGAGGGTGGGAGGGAGGGAGACACAGAGGGAAGAGATATGGGAACATATGTATATGTGTAACTGATTCGCTTTGTTATAAAGCAGAAACTAACACACCATTGTAAAGCAATTATACTCCAATAAAGATGTTAAAAAAAAAAAGATCAGAGGGAAACGAAAACATCTCTTCATATTTGAACTACTTGAGGGAAAGAGAAAGAAAACGGGAAGGGAATGTGAAAGTTATTTAATACATGAGGAGAATTTTTAAGGAAGAAGAGTAAAATGGTGCAGGCATTAAACAATAAAATAAACACCAAGAGAAAGACAGAGTCCAAACCAACACACGATCTTATGAAAGAAAGAGTTATCTTACAGAGTAAAACCTGCCATGTCTAAAAGCATTAAACTTCAGAAAATTAGTCTGGAGGACAACAGCCATTAAAAGAGAATGAAGAATAGGGCAGCCACATAAAGGAAGTAAGAAAAGACTGCAAGAAGAAAGATATACACGTTATAAAAAAACTTCCATAGAAAGCTAATTCCAAAATGTTACGTGGCAAAATATATACACAATAATGACTGTGTACATATATATATGTATATGCGGGTATACATATATATCTATCTACACAGACAACACACAGAATTATGTAAAATACACTTCATTGCATTTTATCTAAGGTGGGTAACATCAAAATGACAGCCATCTATCATTTTGCTGTATCTTCTTACTTTTTAAACCTATCAGAAAGAAAAGAGTAAACAATTTGCTCTGTTTCATACACACACAAAAGGTTTGTATTCATCACACAGAAGATTGGAAAGTTCTGTTAGCTGGGAGGTATAAATAACAGAGAGGAGGGCTTGGGAGTTTTTCAAATTGGGGGAGGGGAATGGAATGGGAATAAACCATACTGCAAAGCACTCAGATTATAATGTCTCCACTGGTTTTGGTTAGGGGCTGTCGAAGCCCTGGAAAAATCAACAACAGCGTTCTGTGAGTGCGTGCATGTGAACGGAACTAAGTGTCACCAAGGTGCTTTATTCTCCCTTCCTCTCTCCTCTCCCGACCAACACTGGTTATTTCCACGCGTGCCCCCATCCAGAAGCCTGGGGCTTCTTCTTCAGCAGTTTTCTCTTCAAAGTTAGAAATTTCTTCTCCACAGAGGTTTTCCTTCTGGGGAAGTGTCCACACTCCTGGTTTCCCAAACGCGCTCTGGAGTCTCTCTTTCCTTCACGTAAGATCCACGTTAAAGTTTGGGGTCCAAAGAGTTTTCTTAGAGTTAGAGACCAAGTCTGGGCCTCTCATTCGTGGAGAAGGGACAAACTTCCCTGGTGGATTGTTTCCCTACCATGACCTAGAATGCAGCCCGAGTCCAGAGCTGGGGCAATTTTATTCACCCATCTCCAAATCATGACAAGTATGAAATCAAAAACACAAGAAGCTTTTAGTGAAGTTCACATCTTTTTTTGGTTTTAGGTACACTCTGGCCTATATTTTCTTGTGTCATTTTCTCTTTTTCTATTATTTCTATCAACAAGGGTTTTTTTTGCCTATTTCTCTTCCCCTCCTAAATTTAAGCCATTAAATTTTTATGCACCCATATCCTGAGACAAGTTACTGCCATAATGTTGAATCTATTTCTTACACCCTCTGGGATTTAATGCTGATTCTTTTAAACACTGAAAATTGTCCTTAATTATTCTTTTTTTTCCTTTAAGAAGGCACAATTGATCACCAGATGGTCAAGTATACAATCTCTCTTTATTACCCAGAAATAGGCAGCTCTGTTGATAGCTGACCTCTGCTCAGTATAGAGTTTAGAATTTCCAACTTGCTTTATCCTGCCTAGAATTTTATTTTGCTTTGGTACATTTTAATTCCACCAATTCAAGAAGTGGGAATCCCTGAAGTTTGATCAGAATCTCTCCTCCTATGTCCTAGATCACTCGTGTTGTCGGATCTGGGAGCCTACCTGGGATATTTTTGAGATCTCAATTTGTTAGTCAAGTAACAAAGAAGGGCTAAATTCTCATCCATCATAGAAGGATGACCTTTGGCTTGTTGTCATTTTCAGTAGGAAGGAGATGAGTTCCCAAGAAAGAGCAACAAAAGGGGGACATATCTCACCTATTGATGACGGTATTCCTTTGAACTACTAGTTGTACTTACTTCCTTCAAAGCAATACTCTAGCACATAGCCATCTAAACCTGCTGCACCAATCTGGTCGGGGGGCCGCCACTTCATTGTGACAGTGGTGTCAGTTACGGAGTCAACAGCCAGAAGAGTAGGTGGGCTGGTTACAGCTTCAGAGATAAAAGAGACAGAAAAAGAAGAAATTATTAAGTACAGAATTATGGCACAGGAACTGTGATAAAATGAACTAGGATACAAATAAAAATATACACAGGGACTTCCCTGGTGGCACAGTGATTAAGAATACGCCTGCCAATGCAGGGGACATGGGTTCGAGCCCTGGTCCGGGAAGATCCCACATGCCGCTGAGCAACTAAGCCCGTGAGCCACAACTACTGAGCCTGCGCTCTACAGCCCGCGAGCCACAACTACTGAAGCCCACACGCCTAGAGCCTGTGCTCTGCAACAAGAGAAGCCACCACAATGAGAAGCCCGTGCACCGCAATGAAGAGTAGCCCCTGCTCGCCACAACTAGAGAAAGCCCACGCGCAGCGACGAAGACCCAACACAGCTAAAAATAAGTAAGTAAATAAATAAATAATAAAAAATATACACAGAAGCCCCCACGTGTTAATAAAATTCAACGAGACTCCTCGAGCATATGCTGTGTTTACGGCAAAGATCTGCCAGATGTGAAAATTTTTTTATCAACGCTGTCACACTTTCCCTCCATTTGGGAGGTTGACATGGGAGTCTGGGAGGCCCAGGAAGTTGAAAAAGTCAAAGTTTGAGATCTAACGATCTAGAGTAAATTTTCCATAACTTTCTAATTTTAAAGTGCAAACTCTTGTACTAAATATTTCTATTGAAAAATCTACTCACTACCAGAAAATAGTGGAGGCGTCTTGTCTTCTCTTTCTTTGCCTTTACTGAACTGACATTTTTGGTTCAATAGATAACATTTAAAGTGTGACTATAAAGCAAAGAGACTAGCTTTCAAGTGTGCTTGGTTGAATTGATGTCAATTTGTTTTAGTTATAGTGTTTACACCAGGGTGCTGGGTTATACTTTCAGAAGGACAAATGGGGGTAGTCTTGTGTCAATGGGCCCAGCTACATGTTTCCAGTGGGAAGGGGCAAACAGAGCCACCCACAGCTGTCCTTGGGATTCTGGTAATAAATTCCAGGGCCTACATTATGAAGGCATTCAACTCTATTGTGTTGTTTGTAATTTCTTAGAAAATTGCCCCTAACCACCTCTAGTCTCCTACTCCTGTATCACCCTAAGAAGCTTCCAGGTCTGCTCCAGTTAGAGGTCAGAAGGAAGCAGTCACAGTCTGGGGCAACGATTTTCATGACAAAGACACACCTCTCTTGACTCACCCAATGGAACAAAAGGTTTGGAGGGCATACTGGGCTTGGAGAGGCCAACGGCATTGACGGCAAAGATGCGGACCTCGTAGGCCACACCTTCAATCATATTCTTGGGCTCAAAGGTTGTTTCTTTGCAGAGATCAAAATTCAGCCTCATCCACCTGGAGCTTTGCTTCTTTTTCCTCTCAATGAAGTAACCTGAAGGGGACGCAAAATGGAAACTGAAGTTTTTCCTTGGTCTCCAAAATTAAACTTTGTCAGATATTAGAATGTTCAAAAATTTCCCATATTCTCAGCACTCTAAGTGCAGTGGTCATATACGTATTTTTAACCCATCTTATTCCATTGGTGTTTTTGAGAGAGATTATAAATAATACAAATATTAACATCATGGGATATAGATACAAATAATAAGACTAGAAAAAATTAAAATGGTACTAGGAAGAGAAAAAATAAACCACCGATATGTAGGCCATAGAAACTTACATAGTCACTCTATTTGAGCAACAGATGTGGCTTTGAGTCCCAGCAATGTAAGAAGGGGGAAATAACCAGTTTTGTGAGTTTCATTATTAGCAAGTAGAAGAAAGTTCCTGTTCCACAGGGGAAGCAAATTCTTCTAAGTATTTAACTCTAGAAGAAATTGCCTCATAGACATAGTTCTATGGATCTAGGCATTTACTGACCAGGATAAAGTTAGACTTACAGTCGTTTCAAAATTATATATTGAACAGAAAAATGTCAAAGAAAAAAAGGGGACAGGCAACCAGATGATATTCATCAGAGCTATTTAAATCTCAAGTACTTACAAAGCATCCCCCAATATATTTCAATGTGAATGGATATTTAAAAGTTTTCTTCTAAATGCAGTAGTTTAAAATGTGCTTTGTACTAATGCGCATAAAGAGGACACCAACTCCACTGGCAGGTCCACAGATGGACCAACACGCAGTTACCTAAGATTGGGGACCCTCCATCATAGAGAGGAGGGTCCCAGTTCATGATGCACCACTCATCTCCCACATGTATCACATTCGGCGCCACTGGAGGATCAGGGACATCTGTAGCAAACAAAAAGTGGAATAGAATAAAATAAAATAAAATTGAGGGAGTGAGAGCACAAAGAAGAGTGTTCATTGGAAAATATGTTTTTGGATGATAATCATAGAAGCAAGGTTATTTCTTATTATTTTTCCATGTTTACTAAAGTGCACTGGGTAACTCATTTGGGTACAACGTCATGCTCTATATGGAATCAGGGAAGGTGAGCCCGATACAAATAAAATAATGATGTCTCCAAATCCTTTAAACTAGTGTCACATTACAGAACCGTATGAAACCCAAGACTTTTGTTATTTACCTTGAAAATGGCGACTAAGAAATTATTGCCTAAATGTTGGACGTGATTTTGTTTTTTAAGCACAGAAGTGAACTTGCAGCAGAACTGAATCAAGAACTAATTACTGCACATTTTACATCAGTTGTATAAGATGTTGACTGGTAGAAATCCAAGTCAAAAATGGCAAGTTACCATGTCTTATAAATATAGTTCAGTACATAACAAAGTGACCTTAGTTTTGGATCAATTTGAAATATGTTTCTTGGGAATTCCCTGGTGGTCCAGTGGTTAGGATGTTGCACTTCTGCTGCAGGTACAGGTTCGATCCCTGGTAGGGGAACTAAGATCCCACATGCCACATGGCATGGCCAAAAAAAAGAGAGAGAGAAAAGAAAAGAAATTAATGTTTCTTAAGGGAAAGCTAAAGTGGGATGAAGAGATCATGAGACCTTGGACCACCAGTAATCTGCCATACTCATTTCACTTGATTTCAGGATCAGGAAAAATGTACTTAAATGGTCATCTAAAAACCAAGGCAGATCTTACTCCTCTACAGTGAGTGTGATGTTGGAAATTATTTAGCAATTGTGTGTCAGTGACTGTAGAGGGCACTGAAAGGGAGTGTGACTGTGGAGAGCTAATGACAGTAACCCCAAAAGGCTAACCTTAGCTACTCCTCACCGCAACTAGTCCTCTAGGCAAGTAAAGAGACAAGAGAGGAAAGGAAAGGAAAAGGAAGAAAAAGGAAAGAAAAGAGAAAGAAAGACATATAAAGAAGTGGCAAAGATAAAAAAAGAAAGGCAGTGATTTATAAAATACAGCTATACTGTGTGCTTCTTTGTTGGCTACCCAGAAAAGCTGAGAGAACCAAGAACTTGCAAAGTCTACTTTGGATCTAGACATGTCAGCCTGATTCTAGAAGTCTGTTGACTCAGAGGCCTTACCCACAACTTTAATCGTGATGGCTGCATGTGCTTCCCCAGCTTCATTTTTCAGATTTATGTGGTAAACACCAGAATCATCTTTTTCTGCTACATCAATAACCAGAGTGGTGCTGTCAGGGTAATTTTCAGTTCTTATTCGGCTACCGCCCTCCATAATAGCCTACAGAGGAAAGAAATACAATGTGGCATGACCTATGCAAACAACAAGGACACCTCCAGAGTGCCTGGGCACTTAAGCTGGACATGGTGCTAATACCTGAAATATGTGCTCTTAGTTTAATCCTCCACCAGCTCTAAGGACAAAAGTATTGTCATCCCATTTTACACATGGGAAGAACTGTGGCCTGAGGTTACACGGCTAAAAAGTGGTAGAACTGGGATTTGACTCCAAAGTTCACTACCCATTAACTCCTTAAAGAGAAAGTTGGAGGACCAAAAATACAAGCGCAGAAGTGTCATTCTAGGAGAAGAGTTTCTTTGTACATGAAATTAGAAATACTTAAACTCATATCAGAAACTAAATAATGATTTGTTCATTTCTTTAGATGTCTTGGAAATTTAAAAATACTGAAAAGGGTTGAAGAAGGCCACAGTGCCAATTTCCCATACAAGTTGAGTACTGAGTTTTCCCTTCCAGCAGGACATGAAAGAATGAACATCTAATTCCCAAAGTAAAGACAGAGTGAGGTTGAGACGTCTATTATATTTTCTTTCTTTTCTCCTTCTTCTCCTTCTCCTTTTCCCCTTCTTATTTTCCTTCATTTCTCGCCTTCCTTCTTCCTTACACCAGAAGTTTAAAGCAGCATTACATTTTTCTGATTCCCAGCTCATATCTTCCATGCAATAATAGACAGCCAATATACAAAGAGGAAAAACAGAGAAAGGTCAAAGCAATTTAGAAAGAGGGTAATTTGCCAGTATTGTCAACTCTACTCTTTTGTGTCTGGATTAGGACTTGTAAGTCTTCAATAACATAAGACTGTGGCAACGGTAAGAATACTTGAAATGGCTTTCATAATTCTCATTTTATAATAGAAAAAATTTCCTCATTTTAGCCAAATTCTAGTCTTAAGATTACAAAAGATGTTCTGCTTGAAAAGAAAAATAACTTACTTAGGGTGGTGTTATATTATCCTCTTCATATTTCTATGTTTTATTTTGTTTCTTATGCTGTAATTTACATCAAGTAAAATTCATAGTTTTAGATATATAATCTATGAATTTTGACAAATTTATGTGAGTGTGTAACCACCCCCATAATCAAGCTACAGACTGTTTCCATCACATCTCACAGTGTCTCCATGCTCCTTGGCATGCAACCCACTAACCCCACATCCTGGTCCCTGGCACCCACTGGTCTGTTATTTGCCCCTTTGGTTTCCCCTTTTCCAGAATGCCATATAAATGGAATCAAACAGTATGTAGTCTTCCAAGTGCATATTTTTAGACTGATCCATGTTGCTGCTTGTATTACTAGTACGTTCCTTTTAATTGTTGAGTAGTTTTCCATTGCATGTTCCACGTGCAGTTGGAATATGTTTGTACAATTGGACTTTTGAGTCATTTCCAGGTTTTGACAATTATAAATAAGTCTGCCATAAACATTCCTATACGAGTTTTTGCGTGGGCATGTGTTTCATTTCTTTTGGGTAAATACCTAGGAATAGCCTTGTGGAGTTTTATAGTAAGCTCATGCTTAACTTTATAAAAAACTACCAAACTGTTTTCCAAAGTGGATGTACCATTTTGCATTCCCACCAGCAATGTATGAGAGTTTAATTGTTCCGTATCCTTGCCAGCATTTGGTACTGTCAGGTTTTTTTTTAATGGCTTTTAAAAAATACTCTTTGTTTTTTGTTCCAGCTTCTTTCACACAGCATAATTATTTTGAGAGTCATCCAAGTTATTGCAGTACTCCCTTGTATGAATTTCTTACAATTTGTTTATCCATTCACCCACTGATGGAATTTGCATTGTTTTCAGCTTTTGAATATTACAAATAAGGCTACTATGACCATTTGTTCTAGTAGATTTTTTTGCAGATTACATTGGATTTTCTACATTGATGATTATGTCATCTGCAAATAAAGACAGTTCTACTTCTTCCTTTCCAAAATGGATGTCTTTTACTTCTCTTTCTTGCTTGATTGCCCTGGCTAGAACCTCCAGTACAATGTTGAACAGAAGTGGTGAGAGTGAACATCTTTTCTCTCTTCTTTCTGATCTTAAAGGGAAAGAATTCAACCTTTCACTATTAAGTAGGATTATAGTTGTAGCATTTTTATGGATGTCTTTTATTATGCTGAGGAAGTTCCTTTCACTTCCAAGTTTGCTCAGAGACTTTTACTAGGAATGGATGTTGGATTCTGTCAAATGCTTTTCTGTGTCTATCGAGATGACCACATTTTTTCTCTGGTTTGTTAATATGGTGAATTATATTAACCAATGTTAAACCTACCTTTGTATTCCTGAGATAAGTCCCACCTGGATATAATGTACTGTTCCTTTTATGTATTTTTAGATTTGATTTGCTAAATTCTGTTTAGAATTTTTTCATCTATTTTCAGGAGTGATATTGATTTGTAGTTTTCTCTTCTTGTAATGTCTTTTTCTGGTTTTGCTATAAGGGTAATACTGGCCTTCAAGAATGTGTTGGGGGGGCTTCCCTGGTAGTGCAGTGGTTGAGAGTCCGCCTGCCGATGCAGGGGACACGGGTTCGTGCCCCGGTCCAGGAAGATCCCACATGCCACGGAGCGGCTAGGCCCGTGAGCCATGGCCGCTGAGCCTGCGCGTCCGGAGCCTGTGCTCTGCAACGGGAGAGGCCACAGCAGTGAGAGGCCCACGTACCGCAAAAAAAAAAAAAAAGAATGTGTTGGGAAGTATTCCTTCTCTTCTTCAATTTTCTGGATGAGTTTGCATTGAATTTGTATTATTTCTTTCTTAAATGTTTGGTGGAACTAACCAACAAAGCCATCTAGATGTGGAATTTGTTTTGTGAAAAGATTTTAAACTACAAATTTCATTTCTTTCATAGGTATAGGGCTATTCAGTACTGATTTAGTGGTATTTTGCAAATTCTGATATATGTTGTGTTCATAAATATTTTCTAATTTCCCTTGTAATTTCTTCTTTGATCCATGAATTACTTTTTAAAAAAGCTACTTAGTTTCTAAATATTTGGAAATTTTCCAAATCTTTCTGTTATTGTTTTCTAATTAATTCCACTGTGGTCAGAGAATATATTTTGCATGACCTGAATCCTTTCACATTTACTGAGACTTATTTATGGTCTATTTTGGTAAATCTTCCATGTGCATCTTAAAATAATGCCCAGTCTACTTTGTTCAATGGAGTGTTCTATAAATGTCAACTACATCAAGATGGTTGATAGTATTTCTCAAAACTTGTACATTTTGTTCTATCAGCTATTGAGAAAAGTAGTAAAATCTCTAACTTACCTATTTTTCTTTGTAATTCTATCATCTTGCTAATTGTTTTCTATTTGTCCCATCTGTCCTTTGTGTCTCTTTTGCTGCCTCCTTTTGGATTCATTAGATATGTTTTTGTGGCTCCATTTTACATCCTGTGTTGGCCTATTAGCTATAACTTTGTTTTATTATTTTAGTGGTTCCTTTAGGGTTTATAGTATAGTCTACCTTCATGTGGTATTATGATACTTTACATTTAGCAAAAGAAACTTACAATAGCATACATCCATTTCACTCCTTTCAATCCTTACTTCCTTTCTCCCCTCTTGGCCTTATGTTTTCATTGTTACAAATTTTACTTACACTTATGTTTGAAGGCCATGGTGCACTGCTATTATTTTTTTTTAAACAACCAAGTATCTTTTTAAGGAGATTTAAATAATAAGAAAAAATATTTTATACATTTATCCATGTAGTTATTATTTCTGACCCACTTATTGATAGCTCCTTTGTGAAAATGTTTTCATCTTAGTATCATTTCCTTTTGACTTTAGGACTTCTTTTAACATTTCTTGTAGTGCAAGTCTGCTGGAGATGACTTCTTTCAGCTTTTGTATATAAAAAATTTTATTTTGCCTTCATTTCTGATAATTATTTCTACTGAGTATAGAATTCTAGGTTGACAGTTTTTCCCCCTTTAAACGTTGCTCCACTGTCTTCTCACTTGCTTTGTTTCCAGAGAGATCAGCTGTCATCTTTGTCTTTGTTCCCACGGGTTTAATGTGACTTTTTCTCTGACTACTTTTTTTTTTTTTTTTGCGGTACGCGGGCCTCTCACTGTTGTGGCCTCTCCCGTTGCGGAGCACAG